ATCCTCTGTGAGGACCTCCATGCCTGCTCCATCCTCTGTCAGTTCTCCCTCTACATCCTCTGAGTGGACCTCCATGCCTGCTCCATCCTCTGTCAGTTCTCCCTCTACATCCTCTGTGAGGACCTCCATGCCTGCTCCATCCTCTGTCAGTTCTCCCTCTACATCCTCTGTGAGGACCTCCATGCCTGCTCCATCCTCAGTCAGTTCTCCCTCTACATCCTCTGTGAGGACCTCCATGCCTGCTCCATCCTCTGTCAGTTCTCCCTCTACATCCTCTGTGAGGACCTCCATGCCTGCTCCATCCTCCGTCAGTTCTCCCTCTACATCCTCTGCGAGGACCTCCATGCCTGCTCCATCCTCTGTCAGTTCTCCCTCTACATCCTCTGTGAGGACCTCCATGCCTGCTCCATCCTCAGTCAGTTCTCCCTCTAGATCCTCTGCGAGGACCTCCATGCCTGCTCCATCCTCTGTGAGCACTGCTGTAAACACCATCCTGGCAGTAGGCTCTGTGAGTACTGTGTCTACTCGTTTGTATGGCTCTGTTGTAAATCTAAATGTAGCCTTTGTATATTCAACAATTTGTTGTTCTCTTCTGAACAGAATGAGTCTGGAGGAGATGAGCCAGCCACTGCTGCTGCAGCTTCATTCTGGTTGCCTCGGGAAATGAGGAAGGCCATCCCTGTGCAGGACCAGAGGTGGATTTCCAACACCCTTTTTCATTCTGGCAAACTGCGGCCACATTTGAAGCTGTGGTACGAGCCTCCTGTCCCAGCCCTCATATACCACCAGACCCCGATGCCAGACCGCTTCTTCACCCATCGGCTGATGGTGTGGATGCCCTACCACCTGTGGAATGTGAGGGTGTTCTGCCCAGCTTGTAGGAAGCAGCTGACGGGCTCGGGTGTCCATAGGAGGTCTCGGAAGGTATTGGACATCGACAGGTATTACCTGATGGTGACAGAGACACTCAGGTGCAGCGTGTGTGTCCTGAACTTTCTGTCGAACCAGTCAGACCGCGCGGGACCAGCTGGACCTGCCGCACCAGAAAATGTTCCGGCTGATTCTGACCCATAAGTGAGTAAAGCAGTTTTTAAATGATGGTGATTGAGAAGACTTAAACCACCGCAAAGAAATATATAGTCAAAAATTGTATATTACATGGAAAATCATAACATTTAATACATTTCAAATTTCTTCTTAATTAGTTAAATACAGCTGTGGTATGATATACAGGCTACATGATATTATCACTGTCTTATTTTGTCCCCTCCTGGTCCCAGCCCTCTGTAAACTATTTCAACTAGAAGGTAAAACTGATATAAATTAACCTTGTGTTACATCTGATGCAATGGGTTTATCACACACTTTCTGTGTTTTGGATAAACAAATACAATGAAATGCGCATTTCAGGTATGCTTGTGACATCCGTGTCATTCGGTTGCTTCGGGAGAGAACACTCGGCAACAGCCCAGCACGTCTTGTGAAGCAGCTGAAGGAGAACCATGGGGAGGAATGGCTGAACCGGTTGGCACACTATCTTGGGGAGTGTGCTGACTTTGTGGCTCGGCCCAGCCTCTTCCCTGTGGTTTGCCAGGAGCCCCCAGAGCCCATCGACATCCCAAGCAGTCGCTGGGTGCTGTCCGTGTACGGCAGAGATATACTCTCCCGCATGGACCACATCAAGGCAAGCATCACCTCGACATTTGGTTCCATTTTAAAGATGGACTCAACCAAAAAGGTAATATATAATGTGACTGTGTATTCAATTTCCATGTATGTTATACTCTTCTGTACACAATCATCTTTTTCCGCAGTGATAACATTACAAATATTGTTTCTATTGTACATGTGTTCAGTGTAATCGATCTACATACATTTACTGCTATAGATAATTTCTGCTTTAACTTAAACATCGCTGTTGTCACATTCCAGATCACAAAGAAGCTGGCTGGCCACGCCAAGGGGACAGCTCTCTGGGTGACCTCTATTGGTAATGAGGTCGGCCAGATTGTGACAAGTGTCCTCACAGTACAGGAGGGGCCTGGACTGGACATGTTGGCCTCTGGTGTGATGGAGCGGTATCGCCAGGCAGCTGTTCCACCCCCAGTGCTGCTGTATGTTGACTGTGGCTGCTGTGTGAGTGACGGGACAAGCATGCTGCACAGCAGGTTCAGTGATTGGCCAGATCTCCACATTCGGCTGGACATCTGGCATTTCATGAGGAGGTTGGCTGTTGGCTGCACCACTGACGCTCATCCCCTTTACCCCACCTTCATGGGCTGCCTGTCTGCATGCATCTTTGAGTGGGACGCAAGGGACCTCACTCTGTTGCGGCAGGAAAAGAGGGCGCTACTCGTGCAGGAAGGTGTGCCAGGTCTTACTGATCAGATGGTGGACGAGAAGATCAGTAAAAAGGAGCTGAGCCTGTACTGCCGCAGGAGGACGCGCGGGGAAGTGGCCACTATCACCCTCATTGAGCAGCTGCTGGAGAAACTGGGGGGGAATAATGGGAGAGACCTTATGGGGGTGCCGCTGCTGGAACAGGTGCGCATGGAGCACATTTGGCGTGTGCAGAGACGCCACGTGAAGTGCATCCAGGATGTGCCAGGTGTGCAGCTGTACACCGTGACAGGAACCACCACAAAGAGTGGCATCCTGCTTACAAAGTACCGCTGTGCAAGAGGGTCTACATCGCTGGAGTCATTTCATCTCCACCTGTTTATTCCAGGTTGGTTCAATTATGTGTATGTTTTTCTTTGACATAAGTATTCAGTTTGAAAAGGAAAACATTTTTCAATGGCAAAAATATTTTTATTTGTTCCCAGGAACAAGTGCAAATGCACTGAATTTCCAATTGTACTTCCTGGAAGGCCTGAACAGGTGGAACCAGGATAGAGGGGCTGCTGCGGTGACCAGCAAGCAGGCATCACTGCTAACATATGCTGGGGATGTGGCTCACTGTGTCAACACCAACAGCCTAAAGGTGTTTGGTCGAGCATTTGTGCCGACCTTCAGGCCGCCTGCCAAATACACTGGTATGTATAATTGATATCTGGCTTCATTACACTTTTGGTTTAAGGTTTCTGTGAATTTACTAAGTTAAACAACTATCATTGCCATATGATGATTTTTTCCTCGACTCCTCGACTCCTCGGTCGTCCGGTTGTGACCCGGAAATGGATTTCAGCGCGCCATGTTGAAGGACATCTCATTTCTCTAAATGCACATCGAGGACCGAGCATCGAGCATCGAGGAGGCTCTCTGGAGGAGCTCTAACCGAGGAGACACTGATGGGTCCTCCACGGCTCCTCCGCGGATGCATTTCCGGGAACGGTGGAGGCGTTACGCACGGCCGGACTTATCTCAGCCAATGACAGCTCTGCATGCATCCCCTGGATATTATTTTAGTAACTGCTTGAACGGCGATGCGATGTTTACAGTGAGAACAGCTGTGAGGTCCGTGCAGAAAGCAGAGCAGTGTGTAAAATATATATCACTCAGTATAACAGGCCTACATTACTCTCTGTATTTGTATGCTTTAGTTTAGTAGATATTTACAAACAAAGAGTCGATATTTTTCAAAGACCATTTAGTGCTTCACATAATAAAATACACAACGACTGTATCCTGATTTTGCTTTAGGAGCTGTAGGTGTGTGTGGTACAGTGTGTAGGTGTGTGTGTTGTACAGTGCGTAGATGCGGCGGACAGACAGGTCTCAGTTGGTTTGGTGTCCTATGCTTACTTTTAATACTTGTAAATACAACTTTTGGCCCGTAATTTCAATTCCCCATTTCAGCGACCAGAGAGGGGGGGTGATATATCCCGTCTCTGATTGTGTTACGTTATTATGAGAGTGCTCTCATACTTGTTTGATTCTGAAATTGTATATATTTATATAAATATATGTGTGTGTATATGTCCACATCTGTAGCCTGTTATTGTCTCATTATACCGCACTGTCAATGAATTAAAAGTAAATATATAAGTCGTCATGAACACATCTGTCCATCAGACAGAGTGCTGCTGTGCCTCCTGTCATCATTAATGGACTTCTCTTTAAAATGACCGCTCAGAGGAGAGGAGTTCTCATTTCTCTAACCGCCTGCTGCTTCCCCTCCTCTCTCCTCGGTTCCCCTCCTCAGTCCTCTGCTCGCATCTCCTGTGGGCGGGACTAAGTCTCGAGGATAGGAGTCGAGGAGGGGAAATTAGAGCATTGAGAAACCTCTCTAGACTGTAATGTATTGTCTTTCATACTGTTTTGTAAATCTTTCTCGCTCTGCCCATCTTTTTAAAGTGTGCTTCTCAGGTACCTGTGTTGCTAAAGTTGTGGTTGGGTGTTGGAGGCGCGGTTGGCAGTATGAAGGTTGTATGTTACAATTGTTGGTTTTCTTTACCATACCATATCTTTTGTTTTTGTTTTTCATTACTGGTTGGTTTTTTGTTTTTGTTTGAGATGGGGTTGGTTTGTTATGCCGGTGGTCCTAGGGACACCGACTTTAAGGGGTGGGGGGGTGTGACGACCCCTGCTTTACTGTCTCCTGTGGTGTGTGTATGGCCCTTTAATGTTCTCCCTCTGTTTGTGTCAGCGCTGATTGAGGACACCTGGCTGCTGGCACCGGAGGATTGAAAGGCCTGAGCCAGAGTCTCGATCACTCTCTCCGCGGAGGACCTGATCTGGGAGCGGCCACTCTCGCTTATACTTTTGCCTTGCCTTTATGTTAGTTTTGGTTCCCGTTGAGTTCTGGTTAATAAATATATTTTCTTATATATAGTCTTGTCCTTTCCACACTTTTTGTTATGGCCAAGAGCCAGGCCATGACAGGTGTGAAAGCACCTATTGTGTCTTGCAAACTTGGCAACAACTACACTAGCTTTTGTGCATATGACACTAAAACCTTTGAATTAAAGCATGTTTACGAATGCAACAACTTGTGCCATTACATTATTTTTAGTAAGTAATGCAAGCCCCAATAATTGAAATAACTTAAGAACAGAATGTTTTCTTTGTAATGAATTTTATTCAAAACATGATGCAAGTTATTGAAAGAAGTTAATATTATTAAGCACACTGAGCAGTGCAGATGCAGGCGAGGTGGGCTTCTGCTGTTTCCCTCAGGTCCATGCTCTTATCATAGATGTCCTCGGGGCGATTCTGGACATCTGCACAAGGGAAAAAAGGGGAACAATCAGTAACTGTATTTTTCTTTATTATTTAAATAGAACCAACTGTGACTTCTTTGCAAGACTCACCAGCAGGCAGGCAGTGGTAGCCAACAGTGACGGAGGTGGTCTTCACAGGGAAGCAGCCGGGCAGGCAGCGCAGCACAGGCTCAACAGAGAAGCATTTAGATTCCTGGCCATGGATGTTTATCTGACTTTCCAGCTGCACAGATTCAAGCATCATGTGGCACTCTGTGAGAGAACAAGGGTGATTGGTGAGTTTCTGTAGGACTCAGTGCATCGTGCATGTTTAAAAGATCAGCTCTCACAATTAACAAATGTTTTACTATTGTTTTATATCAGTGCAAAAGGATGTTGCTGTAAAATTAATTTCACAATGAACTTTAGGTCTTACCGGTGCTGTCCTTGCAGCTCTCGGCTGGGAGAACCCAGGAATGAGCGAAGCTGACTGCGCTCTTTGTCAAGCGTCCGTTGGGTGTTTGGTACTCCTGTCTGATTTCTCCGTCAGCCTTTCCACAGAGTCCACAGGTCTGTCCCTTCATCCAGTCCACAACTTTAATCTGCATTGCAAGATCATATTAGACATGGCAATCAGTTTTAAGAATTGCACATTAGTTATAGAACAAAGAAACAACTTTGGATTTACATGAATAGATCTTTCAATTTTATGTATTTTTATTAAATTGTTCCTAGTTAGTGTTTCATTTACCATCCATGAGTTCTTGTCAAAGTAGACTTCATGTAGACCAAGACTGGGAGCGATCACAGAGATACCATCACCCTTACGCTTGATCTGGATTGGAGCTGTAAGCAAGTAACAGTTTCATAGTCATATCTTCAACCCTATTTTAACATCAGTACAATATGTTAAGGAGGACATTAATGTGTATAGAAACCTGTGGGATGCTTGTATGGCAGGTTGTTGCTGGGTATTTCCATTCCATTGACCTTCACAAACACTTCACTGTTCCTAGCGTACAGGTCAATATCGCTGCAAGTGGAAAAAGGAAAATCATGTTTAGTTTTGTCCATTTGTGGACAGTTTTTGTGTTTGTTTTGTAATGGACACTCACATATCAGCGATTTTCACGTTGATGTCGTTCTGTTCAATTCGATCCTTCTTCAGCAGAACCATGAATTTAAGCTCATTGGTACAATCCTGTGCCAGAACTTGGTAGCAAGATTGGGGCATCTCGTTCTTGTATCTTTTGTTGTTGAATGTGGTCAATATGTTGTTGGCAAAGCTACATTCAGCTGCAGAGAATTTAAAAAATGATTGAATTATTATCATGAGCCAAAGGTAACTGTCAGTGCATTTCATTTTAAACACTAAGGTCATTCATTACCTGCGCCAGCCTCGGCAAGGATGTAGTTGACATTATCAATAACCTCATCGAAGGGGGTAAGACTCTTGATTTTTTCAAGTGGCAGAGCCATTGGAAGATGCAGGTCCAGCTTATAGACAGTACGCTGTAGACAGAATAATTCATAATTACTAGTAAATAAATCTCAAACCAAACATGACCTTATATATTGGAAGAAGCACAGAATTATTCTTACTGTTGGTGCTTTCCAAATGAGTTCAATGATTTTGGCAGATGTGGCAACCACTGTTAAGGACAGCTGATTGACGCTCGTTTCATCCTTTCCTTTGATCACGCCAGCTGGTGTGTTAGCAGGAATGTAGTGATAAACCCTGTGAATGATTTTCCAAATATCAGATATTTAAAATAGTGTATATTGCATGTGAACAGTGTAAAGGCAGTGTGTATGAGGGTTCATACTTCTTTGCATAGCGTTTAAGGGCAGAAGGCAGTTCTTTCCAGGTCGCTCTGAGGCGAGCTGCAGGGCTTTTTCCAAGAAGACCTGTCTCGGCTGTGATCATTATGTTGTACTGCTTGCATTGTTCTCCCCAGGCGATTTGACCCTATTCAGAAACAGCAGATGTGAAGTTAAGGCAGCTGGTTTTAACAGTTACCTTTTTATATTATGCCCTATTATCTATTCAATAAGCAAGTGTCTTACTGTGACTTTGTGTTTGCTAAGAAGAACTCCATCAACACAGAGCTTCCAGTTGTCATCGGCAGCCAAGGCAGCCAGAACAATCTGAAGTCTGGAGGTAGATCTGTCCAAGTAGCCTGCCAGTTCGTATCCAATCACCCTCTTGTCGACTTTGATGACACGGACGATGATTGCAAAGATAGGAGCAATATCTTTGGCAAGGAATCTGTTCTGTGGGATCAATCGGGGTTGAATAATGTGAGTACAACAACAAACCAATCAGTAAATCAATAAGAAGAAGGATTATCTAATTTAATATATGACCAAGATTTACCTGTGTGGTGATGGCCTCAAAGCTTGAGTCACTGCTTCTGCTTTTGGAAACGATCGATGCTTGAGAGGTGAGAGTCTGCAATGATAATGTACAGAAGTTAAAGGCCACCATGAGAAAGCTTCAACAGAAGTTAACATGTTCAAACTGTACAATATATTGTCATGGTTTGAAGCACCATCCAAACATACCTGCAACTTGTGGTTCATCTGGAACTTGCGAGCAATCAGTTGCTGTTTAAAAGAAACATTTTGTTAGATTCCAGACTTACTTTCATATGTAGTCACCTTTAGATTCGACCATGTTTACCATTGTGGGACGAGCACCGGAGCTGGAGGAGCTTGAGCTATGCCTAAAGAGTGATGTAAGGCTAGATGCCGAGCTGGTTTTGCTCACAGATGCATCAAAGGCCTTGCTGGCAACACGAGAGGAGGAGCTGGAACTGGAGCTGGAGCTGGAGCTAGTTGAGCGAGAGCTGCTGGAGCTAGAAGAGGAAGATGATTTGACCCTCTGATCAGGGACCAGGAGTTTCTTCAGCTTCATCATAAGTGGTTGTTCTTCAAGAATGTCGTCACTCAGGTTGATCTGTTTAACAAGCATGTCTGCAGCCTTTGGTCCAATCTGAACCTTAAATTCCAGTCGCTCAATGGCCTCTCCTTCAACTGAAAGTATCATTAGATCATATATTAACGATTGCTTTATGCACACTGCTTCTACAAAATGCTGTAAGGACTGATTCTATAATACTTACTTGGTTTTAAGGAGAGAGCAGCAGAGTGCTTTCCAACCAGTTTGTACAAAATAGCAGCATGGAGGGAAGCAGCATTCTCAGTGGCAACCCTCAAACATCCCTTCAGTCCGAGGGCAACAGCTTTAGCACAATACTTCTTCTCAAACTGCACTGCTTTGGGTGTAATGATGGGGGCTTCGACCTCCTGGCTAAGGATCTCTGAAGACTTTGACCATGAAAAGAATGAAATGTTAACTATGTTGTAAATGTAGATATTTGTTTTGGTATCATTAAAGACAATGTTTAAAGCTCACCAAACTAGCAGAAGCAGATGAAATGGGCGGCAAGAGTTTGGGAGGGATGATGGGGGTGATTCTTTCAGCAGCACGATCCTCCATATTTCTTATCACAGCTAAAGCCTCAACTCTGTTGATTGAAAAACAAAAACGTAATCAAATAGATTCCTTAGATAAATACATCCTAGGAGTGACAGGACTTTCATATTTTCCAGGGTATACATTAAGGTCAAAATGTTGGGCTTACAGAACAGTTGCAATGTTTTCAGGCGCAGAAACGGGCAGAGCTTCAATCTCAAAGTGGCCCTCGTTGAGGTCGAGTCTTGCGGTGATTTTGGCTGGGAGAATGGAGTTGAATTTAGCTCTTGACATCACATTAGCCTGGAGTAAGAGGGCGTTTATTCCCATCACAGCAAATGTGTTCAAAGCAATGCTGGAAGGAGAGGACATTGGGATGTTATACAGTATAATATGTTATATTTTGGACGTGCTACTTTAAAAAAAGTCAGATTGAACCTACCTTGGTTTGATCTCAGTCTCAAGCTGTATGTCAGTCTTCAGAAGGTGAGCAAGATGGAAGTTTTCTGGCAGAGCTGGTGTTGTGATGGCCTTGACTGAGAAAACAAATAAAAAGGTTTAACACCACTATAATTGGACCCAACATAACCTTGACTTTTTATGGCTGTATCAGGAATTTAAAATGTTTTCAATCTAGAGCAAGTCAGCACCTTTTTTGATTGGCAAACTAGACTTTAGTAAATATATGGGACTTGATCACCTTGAACACATGCAGCAACCACGACAGCGGTGTACAGACTGAGCTCCATTGGAAGACCTGCAGAAGTTGGCAGGATACGCCTCACTTCAGTGACAAGCAGGGGCTTAGCGAAGTTCATGGAAGTACCAGCCAGCAGAGCCTTGAGAGCATTCATACCCAATTCCTTCATAGAGGGTGCAGTGGCAAGCTGTAGGGAAACAATTATCATAGTTATTGTGATAAACAATTGGTTTGGAAACGTAATCTTGACATTGACAAATAGTCATTTGAAACATACCGCAATGGCCTGGTCAATCAAAACTTTGTCGATGTTGGCGACGGCAATTTCTTGTCCGAATAATTTGACATAGACGGATGCCAGAGGTGCACTGTTGGGCTGAGCCTTCCACTGAGAAAGCTGTAAAAAGACAAGTCTGGTGTGTTATGTTTTGTTATGTTCCATGTTTGCTATTAAATATTTGCAACTTCCTGATGTTTAATTGCTTACAGCCTTAATAACACGCTTCATCTTGGTGATCCTGTCAACATTGTCAACGAGTTCAGGGTTTTTCAGAAGAACCTCCTGGAGTCCCTCAGTTCTAACTCCAACCTAGGAAAAAAATCAAAATGTTGAAAAGGTTTTTCTTTATTTGTATTAAAAGACCAGCTTAGAGGCTATGTTTTGTCTTATTTTACCTCCAGAATATCAGCAGCAGCTCCAGCAAGGTAGGCAGTGGTTTTAGCCATCAAGGATCTGGGCAGAATGGTGGCAGCATCATTGATGTAGAAAGCGCTGGCAGCAGCACCAAGCATTAAGGGATCTGTAAATGTTCGACAAAATGCAGTTAGTTGATGTTCCAGAAAAAATGGGGGATAAGGGGGGTGAGACTTAGCATATGAGATGAGCCTTACTGTTATAGACATCCATGTAGATGGCTTTGCTGAAACGTAGGCTCAGTCTGTCTAGCCTTGGGCTCAAGATCTTCATGGCGACGTTGCAAGCTGCAGCACTAAAATGACACCAGAGAGAGTAGCTGAGTAACATAATTAATGGATATAGACTTGATGATGAATTGGGATCAGAAAGTGCTCTTACACTGTGGCATGGATAGTGCTCCTTGTCAGGGCCTTCATGTGAGAATAAGTGAAGCTTGCTACCTGCAGATTCTGCTCTGTCTTCACAATATTGGCAAGAGTTGTTACCAAACCCATTGGAGGCCTTGTCTCAAACAGCACAATGCATGCAAGAATACGCAGCTCTGGGTGAAGAGCCTTGTCCATGTAAAGCTGAATGGCCAATTCTTGAATCTGTTTTACACGAGAAAGCAAAGTCATTTTCATGTTATGTGTAAAAACTAGAACATTTTCAATTCTCTTTGGTATTTAGTATGTACCACTCTAGGCTCCTTCTTTGCAATGTTCCTCAGGGCCAGGATGGCATCAGCATGGACTCTCATGGGCAGAGATGCAGCTGCAGTGCCATGAATGGGCAGGATCTTTGTGATGGGCTTAAGGCTAGTAGGATGGGCAGCGTTTCCCAAAACTTTCAGGAGCAGGATGATGTCCTGGGTCTCATCTTTAGCAACAGCCTCTGCAAGGAGCTCTTGGATGGGCTGATGAAAGGGAAAGGAGACATTTAGAACTTACTTCATCATTTAGAAATGTGCAGAAGAGTAATATGTCAAGACAACATTGTTTTCACCTTAACAAGTTCAGCAGGGCAGACAGCCATCTCAACACAGTGTTTTGCAATCATGGTACCATATCCAAGGAGGACGATCTCACGCAGAATTGGGTTTTGCACTATCTTGTTGTTGACTGCCATTTCCTAAAAGAAAGCAACAATCAGAAATGTTTCATACCTCAATTCTTATTACAACAAAGTATTTTGCTTTGTCAGGTACTTACCTGGATGATCTTGATGGCCTCAGTGTTTGCTGTCACCATGTGAACAGATACAATCAAAGCCTGAGCAGTTTCAGCAACAGACAAGGCACCAGCCATGTATTTCTCCTTGATGAATTTCAGAGCGGCAGGAGTTCCAGTGGCAGGGATTGCATCCAGGATCCACTGTCTGGAAGAGGACAATGGATTGAGTGAACCTGTTTCCATATATTTTCTTAAATGTAATTCAAATGTTCAAACACTTAAAGTCACCTGTAGGCAGGTTTGGTTCTGTATTGGCTCCAGAGCATTTCCAGGTCTTCAAAATGTGCATTACGGAGGAGCTGAATGAGTTCCAAAAACTTCAGAGGTGCATCTTCATGGACTCTCTCAACGTTGTGGGCAACCAGATGATTCAGAGCCTCCACAATCTAAGAACAGGTAATTGAAGGTGGATTAGTTATATATGGAATAGATTCAGATATGTATTTAATATATTCTAAAGCAGTCTGAGACTTTACCTGAGCCTTGACGTCGGTGATCTTGATGAGCTGAATGGGTGTCTGAAGAAGCTCAGTGGAGAACTCGTACTTGAGAGATCCACGGTGAAGATACTCAACCTCGATGGGTACAATAGGGGCTCTCTGAATCTCAAGGAAGACCAAGGATTGCCTTGAAAGGAATGCAGCTCCATTAAAACAAAAACGTGGCCATTACTCCATACTTCTTAGTACACTATCAGCTGACTTACTTTGTCTCCATCTGAGCAGCTCCATTCATTTCAGTGAAAGGTGAGAACTGGATCACTTCATTGACTGTTGCCTCCAGGATCAGGATGCCGTTAGCAACTGGCTTCAAGACGTAATTGTATGCTGTAGCTCCTCTCAGGTTCTTTGAATTCTGTGAAGACAAACCACATAGTTGCTCAGTAATGCAACGTTTTCTACTTTTATAGATGAATGCGTGACACGAAATTAGTTTTAACCTACCTGCTGACACTTTACACATTTCTCAGTGTATGCCAATCCTATATCCATCATCACCCTCTCCTGACAGTGGTTCAGATCCCTGGTCTTTGTCAAATGGATGCGTTCAGCCTTTTCGTCTTCACTGATGGCATAAAGGGTCTTGCACACACCCTGAGCTCCAGCCTTAAAAGAAGAGTGTAAGTTTACTAGAGAGATTCAACTTCCTATAATGGATTTCGTATCAGTTCTGAAGGATCTTTGACAAACCTCCTGCATCTCATAGACATTCTGTGTCTTCTTGATGTTGAGCTGAAGAACATTCAGGATACCTCTGTAGACGTTCAGCACCATTGTTGAGATTACCTCAGGGGCAAAGACTTTTCCAACAACACCATTGGCATACTCAAACTTGACGGGAGTCAAGAGCTGAGCGGCCAGGGCTGCGGTCACCTTTGGTGCTGGGACTAAAGGATCCTTGGGCCAGACACCACTGAACTCAGCGATCTCTGGTTCAGCAAGCTAGAGTGTAAGAATATGATTTATTACAGGACAAATTGCATTTTAAAACTCAGAGGATTGTTGCGTGCAACTGATTTTAATGTTTACCTTCAGGATGAATGTATTTTGACCTGCTGCACTGATGAGAACTTTGCTGCTGATTTTGAGTCCGGCTCTTGCCAAACCTTGATCCGGAAGACCGCCCAGGAGCAGTGTCTCATATTTGTAGACATAAGTCTTACCGGCAGCAAAATCAGGAGCTGTAAGAACAATTTATATCACTTCATATTAACCATCATTTATCAAGTAGATTGTATTTTACCACAATTATTCCTGTGGAAATGTAGTTGTGGTGAATGTTGCAATGCATTGTGCATCCAGGTATTTATAGGTAGAAGCTGTATTTTACTGATAATAATAAATGAATTAACTTACCCAAGTTATGGGGCTGAGCAGCTGAAATCAGATACAAAATATATTAATAATCCAGCAAGAACATTGTGAAACTATTACATCTACTAATTTACAATGCAATTGTTTTTATTGTTCATATAATATAATAACAACAATACATTTTAAGGTAGGGTTGAAAGTAGGAAATATTTTGATTTCACTGTATCCAGATACTGTGTATTTTTATTATAAATGTACCTGATAATTTCAGGTGTTCTTATGTTGTTACTCTGATACTGATATTTTAATCTCTTATTCTTTATAATATTAATACATAGTCTTTTACATTCTGGTCCCTTGATTTTTTTTAAGTTCAATACATAACATTATATTATACTTTATATTATAATATAGCAATCTCTCACATCCTAATTTGACTTTTAAAAGCAGGATCACTGGAACTATCAACCAGTAAGCCTGCAGTGTAACATACAAGCATCAAATATACGATGGCGTATAATGAATATGATCAAATTAAGAAGGCAATTTGATGCTAAAGAAAATCAGACAGAAAAGTAGTACTGAAATCTCAGAAATTCAAGTTATAAAATATGTTTAAATGTTTTAAAGGTCACCTATTATGCAAAATTCACTTTTTCATGTCTTGTCTTGTCTTGTCTTGTCTCTAACAAAGTTTTTTGCTGTTTCTGATAAAAAACTGCATTTTCTTTTAAATGTGAAATGTTCTCAAAATCAGAGATAATACTCACCCACGAAGGCCAAGGTCAGGGCAAGCACAATCACTCTCATGGCTGATGGATTGTGAATCTTTGCAGTGAATGCCTGTCTTTTATAGTTCACACTTCTGGATAGCTGAGGTAGGATATGAACCCTGCCAAGTTTGATCGATACAGCCAATTCGATCCTCCTATTAAATCACTGGTTTGGGTTTGGGAGGGGAGTGCTACAGATTGTGTATCAGTGAATGAAAAGTTAGGGGCACCTGACCTTTTTCTAACATATGCAAAGTCAAAAGTTAAGTATCGTGTTTCAAACAGTTTGCTGTTTATTTTATATAACAGTTGATGTTTTTTGTTTTCTGACAATAAATCGTACTTTTTTAAACATATTTCAGTTTTTTGCTGTATATGTAAATGTTTGGTAAATATAAAAAATATAACAGAATAACATAGAAAAAGGCAAACCATTTCTCAAAAGAAATGTATTGTTTATAGGTTTAAACAGTAAAACCTTTTTTATTCAAAAAATGTAAAGTAAACTTAGATTTTTCGTTAATCCAAGGATCCTTTATTTTATTTAATGTTTCGTACTGATGTAATTTGCTTTAGGTGTTGACTGAGATCTTTTTTGTCTTAACTTATTCATATTTTTTGAGGCAGTTAAAAAAAAAGAGATTCCTGGCTGCATCGAGTTTGCTTCGTAGTTTAACCCTCACAGGGCATCATGACCATGGATGTTTGCTTAGTTTGTTTGTTGTAGTCAGGGTGACATTTCAATGACATTTCAGCAGATATTGCAGATACTGCGTGCTTGACACCGTTTCAACTGTGGGATGGAAGCATTTTAAATATGAATTAACAAAGGTGTTTTAATCTGGACACTGGTGATTTGATTTTTACAGATTTTTACAGTAATTTCAATCAACAGTAAACCATTAATCATGTTATTGATTGTTTTACTTGTAAAACAATGATCCAGAAAAACACCAAGGATAAGATTCCAGCTGTTTTTGGGAATAGGGTGTTTTGTTGCCTTTTGCCCAGTACAAACAAAAAGTGAATCACCAATTTGATTCTTAAAGACTGAAAGTGTATAAAACTAAAGGTATAATGGGCCGTTGCAAAAGATCTCACCCTATCTATAAAAGTGTTTAGCATTTTAGTTAAGTTTCAGAAAGGGTACCTATATTTCAATTATTTCTTAGACATGATCTTAGTTGATCTACAATATACCACCATTACACTAATATTCTACTTGGCTGTATATATAAAATCAAACAAGTTTTAAAATTGTACTTAATAATCTATAATCTTCATGTCATCCCCCTCCTTCTCCCCCCCTTCTGTCTATCTTGCCATCATTTAAGTAGGAAAAGCCTAGGAAAATAATTGTTAACAAGGTACAACATTTTTTTCATCCATGCTCACTTTTAATTCATTTGTTCATAATCTCAATACAAACAACTCGGTATGTAAACACATTTACACATGTAAAACAATTTTACTGCTTATGAATGCCAAATAGTAGGACTTCAAGTGTTGACTGTTAAAGTTTAGATATGTAAGATAGTCCTAACGTTTTTTTATGTATTTGTCAACAACCTGAGGCACACAAAGAGACACAAAAAGGCAGTTGCACCGTGTATCTTCTGGTGACTTTTGGAAATAAAAACCTGTTATGCGTGCATATGTTCACCTATACCTGTGTTCCAATGCATGTGTGTATTTGTACTGCATTGTGTGTGTATTCAAAACAAAAATACAAATAAACAATCGCGTGGAAAACTGAATTTCCCCTGGGGCATCAATAAAGATGCATTTTATCTTATTTTAAATGGGCAGGCCCTTTCAATTTGTCTAATCTCCTTAAAACATATTCTCATTAAGGACAGTCCACTCTTAGAATACAGTCAGCAGCCAACAGGGCTTTTTCATATTGTGCTCTTCCTCGAGAATAATCTTGCCATGGACATTAACAGTCTGAAAGGATAATTGTTTTGCCTTAACTTTAATTAGTTGCTCATTCTTTCATTATTTGGCTGGCGTCTCAGTCTCAATTAACTATCTAGGACTAGTAGTCCTTCCGAAAAAAATAATGATATAAGGTTAAAAGTCACTGTTTCTCAATACCTTTACTGTTTTGTGTCCCCCAAGCGCTGCGGTTTGACTCCTTATCATCATCAGCTTTATTTAAAGAGACTCTTGGTCCATTTTTTCCATACAACACTCAAATATAAATTAAAAAAGGCAGTTATACCAATGTTTCCGCAGAGGTGACTGGTATCGTACACTACAGCACTGAGACACGGATTTGAAAGCAGCATAATGACAGTTATGAGAAACATTCAATCGACAGATGAATCTGTACATCAGATTTCTCAAGAGAGCATGGAACGTGTTGACTCGTGCATTACAAAACATTTCACTTGCACTGCACCACCTTGGTTTTCTAAGCAGTATACGCAAACAATCATTATAAGCAACCTGGAGCTTCTGGAGGCTCGCCTTCTTAAACTTGACCCACAAGGGGGCAGTATAGAGAGGAGTACAATAAGCTCTAAAGAGGTTCACCTTAAAGGTAGGATAGGTAAGTTTGAGAAACCAGCTCGAGATCGCTAGAATTTGAAAATACACAACCGGAGAAAATCTGCCACGTCCTTATAGAGAACCTCCTCCAACACACACGCGCACATGACCAATGAGGGCACGAGATAAGTTTGTGCCCCAGACTGACAGGCAGGTAAACCATCCAGTTATTTTAGCCGGGCCGGCTAAAATGATTGGTCGTGCTTTTTACAGTACTACGGCTTCCACAGATGACATTTTTGTATGGATTTTTTGTCAAAGCACTTAAGATATTCATTGCTATCGGGATGTTAAGAGCATTCCATGGAATATAACAAAGAGTGTATCTCGAGCCGGTTTCTCAAACTTACCTACCCCACCTTTAAGTTTCAGAAAGGGTAGGCTACCTATATTTCAATTATTTCTTAGACATGATCTTAGTTGATCTACAATATACCACCATTACACTAATATTCTACTTGGCTCTATATATAAAATCAAACAAGTTTTAAAATTGTACTTAAAGGTGGGGTAGGTAATTTTGGAGAAACCAGCTTGAGTGTGCTAGAATTTGAAAATACACAGCCGGAAAAAATCTCCCACTTCCTTACAGAGCCCCTCCTCCAACACACACGAACGCGCACATGACCAATGAGGGCACGAGATAAGTTTGTGCACAGATGGAAGGCTGACAGGCAGGTAGGCCATCCAGTTATTTTAGCCGGGCCGGCTAAAATGATTGGTCGTGCTTTTTACAGTATTACGGCTTCCACAGATGACATTTTTTTATGGATTTTTTGTCAAAGCACTTAAGATATTCATTGCTATCGGGATGTTAAGAGCATTCCAAGGAATATAACAAAAAGTGTATCTCGAGCCGGTTTCTCAAATGTACCTACCCTACCTTTAATAATCTATAATCTTCATGTCATCCCCCTCCTTCTCCCCCCTTTCTGTCTATCTTTACCTCTGCCATCATTTAAGTAGGAAAAGCCTAGGAAAATAATTTTTAACAAGGTACAACATTTTTTTCATCCATGCTCACTTTTAATTCATTTGTTCATAATCTCAATACAAACAACTCGGTATGTAAATACATTTACATATGTAAAACATTTTTTATATACTGCTTATGAAGGCCAAATAGTGGGACTTCAAGTGTTGACTGTTAAAGTTTAGATATGTAAGATAGTCCTAACGTTTTTTTATGTATTTGTCAACAACCTGAGGCACACAAAAGACACAAAAAGGCAGTTGCACCGTGTATCTTCTGGTGACTTTTGGAAATAAAAACCTGTTATGCGTGCATATGTTCACCTATACCTGTGTTCCAATGCATGTGTGTATTTGTACAGCATTGTGTGTGTATTCAAAACAAAAATACAAATATACAATCGCGTGGAAAACTGAATTTCCCTTGGGGCATCAATAAAGATGCATTTTATCTTATTTTAAATGGGCAGGCCCTTTCTATTTGGGGCGTGCATTACAAAACATTTCACTTGCACTGCACCACCTTGGTTTTCTAAGCAGTATACGCAAACAATCATTATAAGCAACCTGGAGCTTCTGGAGGCTCGCCTTCTTAAACTTGACCCACAAGGGGGCAGTATAGAGAGAGGAGTACAATAAGCTCTAAAGAGGTTCACCTTAACCTTATCTGAACACCAAGAGAATTTTCTAGCCAACATGTTAGCTTGTGTATATAAGACACGCCGCTGTCTATACATGTCATCATCATCAGCCATTTCATCTGTAATGATGTGTCCCAGATACTTAGTTTTACAGCAAACAGACAGCGCCTGCCCTGACAGATAGAATATTGGAAAACCAAGGTTCTTATCCCCTTTTGCTCTGCAGATCATTACAGCGCTCTTCTTAGCATTGTATGCCAAATCATCGGCATACATAAGATGGTTTACAATCACATTACCAATCACACATCCTGTTTTACAGCCACTTAAATCATCTGATAGATCAAAAAAGGCATGGTGAGAGGAGCCCCCCCTGGCGAACTCCATTACCAACACCAAATGGCGCCGAGACTGCATTCCCCCATTTTATTCGCATGCTCTGGTTGGCATACCAATAAGCCAGGATCCTAATTATACTGTTGGGCACACCCCTTTGTCTCAATTTTAAAAACAGTTTATGATGGTTAACTCGGTCAAAAGCCTTAGAGGCATCAATAAAACCAATCAGAACAGTGGAATTCTGTCTTCTATATGTTTCTACCATTTCCTTCAAAGCATAGATGCATAGAGCTCAGTACCATGCTTAGCCTTGAAGCCAAACTGGTTATCTGAGGTAATAAATAATTTTTTTTTATGTGTAACTAATGTACCGCAGGTCTCCCTTGAAAAAGAGATCGTTGATCTCAATGGGATTTTTTAACCTGGTTAAATAAAGGCTACAAACAAATAAGAACATAATCTATCCAACACATTTTTATTTTTTTATTTTTTTGTGAACATAGCCAATAACCTACCATAGCCAATAACAAATAAATGTAA